TTAATTCCACGTTAAAAGTGTGTTACAATAAAGCATAAACACATTATCAAGTATTTTTGCTTTTTTATACCAAAATGTTAAAATTGATTTTTATTTCTATATAGACAGCTTCTACTGAAGTGGAATGGATGGGGGTACAATGATTCTAAGTTTGTTGTTCAGAATGGAATTGTTCACTTTACTGGGTCAAGGTAAGTACAATAAGAAATAGCTTATTGTATGCAACTATTGTTTGTAAGAACACAGTGCATGACATTAATTATTAATAAGACAAAAAGAATTTAAAATTTTAAATAAAGATTACCCCACCAGAATTATTCAATCATTTTGATGTAATATATATAAGCATTTTTTTAAGGTCTGTATGCTTTGTTATTTTATCAAATGATAAATACCTACTTGCTTTATCTTGTTTATTGATAATAGTATATTAATGTGCATGTACATGGTTTGCTTTGCGTTTACTGATAAATCATAAGGTGATATTTATTTCTATTTTAACAGGTACCTATAGGTAATTATTAGCACATTTCAAGGAACCGAAAGTTTAGAACTTTAAAAAATTTTTATCATTGAAATACACAAAAGGTGTTTTGAGAAAAAACATTTCTTACCTATGTGAACTAATTTGACGCCCCGGTACTTTTCAATCCCCGGCCGGAATATTCTCCCTATGGTTCGGGGTGTAGTATTTACTATTAGTAAGATATGTTTTGAAAATTTCCAAAAAACTCTTCCTTTATGAATTTTTGCAAAATCTTAAAACAAAGGATGTAATTTTGGTAAATCTTCTAAATCGATTCCACCGTTCCATTAAATTGAGGGTCGAGTGATGTTTTTTTTTTCTTTTTGGAAAGTTCAGGTCAAGACCTTTCGAATGGTATTATTCTTAGTGCGCAGCGCAGAAGTTAACATTTGACTCATTTTAACAACTACTCTATTTAGAGCCTCACTTATTCAAGAGGTACGAAAAACCCTTGGAAGTTAGGTGACGCTCCAAGTACAGTTTCCCAAACAGATCAAAGGTTACTTTCTCCGTGCATTCGAAATAACCTGGCTTAAGCTTTCCGAATAAGTACCTACCACTCGACCCTCAATTCAGTGGACCCATTCGAAAAATAAGTTGTAATTTTGTCGTAGTTATTGAAAACAGTTTAAAATTAAAAAAGAAATTTGTACCATTCTTCTGCTATTACCTACTTACAATAAAGGCCGAATTCTAATTGGTAAATTGTCATTAATGTTTTTAATATCATCTGATATATTTTATAGGTGTTTAGATTAACAGAAGTTCAAAAAGCTTTACAATTTTAATTTTTAGTTATTTATTACTTTTTTGTTATACATATTTTATCTCCCGACACTTGGAACCATTAGAGGGTATTCCAATGAAACTGCAAAAATTATTAAAACGTTATGACGGTTCTATAAAATTTTTGTATGTGCTGATATGAATATGAAGCATGATCGATCTATCATCGTAGGTACTGATAATAAAATGTGCTCATATAACTAACTTCTCAGTATCTTAGTCGTACTTGAACATACTCATTTATATTTATTAATCATAGAAATTATAATTGGAATTGATTTTAATTGTTATTAATGTTCCATTAGATTTTTATTAGTACCATTTATACCATTATCAAAGTGTTATACTCTTTCATATTTTGATAATGGTGTAAAAGCCGAAACAAATTCGTCAGAATACATGACAATTTTGTGAAATATACCAAGTGCTTTCTTTTCGATATTTTAGTTTTATTTAAAATGTTTCATCAAGTGATTAACGACTGCATGATTACCAATATTTTAATGTATTTGTATGATAAGAACTTCTAATTGAAAATTTACGACTGCCATAATATAATAATATAATTTTAACATTCAAAACTCAGTATAATACCTATATTAAAATCTCTTTTTAATTCGTATAAAATGGGCTCCTCTTATTCATATTTTTTACTGCTTTACAAACTATTATTATCATGCTAAAATTAAAGTTTTGGAAACGTGATTTAATTGGCATTGGAAAATAATACTTTTTGTAGACTAATTGTACTACATTAATTTGTTGGAATGAAAATCTTGCTTTCCCACTGTATACAACGTATATTTATGTATAGTTTTTGACAGAGTTAATACCTATATCGGAAAAAAAAATAAATTCTTATATCTGCTAAAAAAATAATTTCTGCTTTTGAAATGCAAAGCAAATAATTTTTGTGTTTTCTATATTTTATTAATATTATGTCAGTATTCGTTTACTTTAAAAATTTGAATTTATCACTTGATGGATGGAATTTTAATATTATGTAGTATTCGTTTACTATTTTGTACAATTTTTATTTACTGCTTGATAGATAAATAATTAAAAGAGTTTGTATTAATTATTAGGTACCCAATTGGCAACCTCTCCTTGCCTTACTTTACAAAATGGGTGAAAGAAGTTTTCAATGTTGATTTGAGCATTAGGAATAAACCTCAGGAACCTCCAGATGAAAGCCAATATCCCCCTTCTAATATAACAGAAGAGATATTACAAAAAATTGAATCTTTTAGCGTGCCCTATTCAACAAAAGGGATAGATAGATTATTGAGGGCTCATGGACATACACTGCACGATATCTACACTTTACGAACGTCATCGTTTGATCGCATTCCCGATATAGTGGTATGGCCAAACAACCATGAAGATGTGGCCAATTTAGTTAATTTTGCTAATGAAAATAATGTAGTAATCATTCCTTTCGGTGGTGGAACTTCTGTTACCAGTGCCCTAGAATGTTCCAAGTATGAGCATAGAACTGTTATTTCATTGGACACATCACAAATGAATAAAATTCTTTGGGTAGACAGAGAAAATTTGGTTGTATGTTGCGAAAGTGGCATTATAGGACAAGATTTAGAAAAAGAATTACAAAAGTTGGGTTACACAACGGGCCATGAACCTGATAGCTATGAATTTTCGTCGTTGGGTGGTTGGGTCGCAACAAGGGCGTCAGGAATGAAAAAGAACACTTACGGAAACATCGAAGATATCCTAGTTCACGTAAAAATGGTAAGCCCAAAAGGAGTGCTTCAAAAGAATTGCCAGGTGCCTAGACTTAGTTGTGGACCAGATTTTCACCATGTTATTTTAGGTAAGATTGAAAAAATATTTAATTAATCTCAGAAAATGTTATCGGAAATAATCATTATAATTTCAACCTACTATTTTGCGTTTAAAGCGTGTACAAAGATGTCATTGCTTAAGATATTACAATTAGTCATGTACATTGTTTATTGAATTAATCTTTGTGTTAATGCAATCATCTATATGTCTTATGTATTACTTAACGGTTTATTATTAATATATTTATTGCAGTGTAACACACCTACCTATTTTTTATCACTCAAATATTGTTTTAACAATTTTATTTCATTTTTTAAGTATTACATAATTGGTAACGTAATTGTAATATCGAAATATATAAGTATATTTAAAATATTTTCACATTTTATATGTTTGGTTTTTTATTTTACAAATATTTTTATATTGGGTACGCTTACTGATTTTTTTTAAATATCGTGCCAAAGTAATAAATTAAAAAAATTATTAAATATAATCACTTTCTCATATACAGCAAAGAAGTTGCTTTTCGGTAATTTTTTAATGTTTTTATCGTTAATTAAACCGTTACACATCTGTTAACTTAATTAAAGTTAACGTAAATGCTTTGAATTAATGGCGCTATATTTTCTTAAACATTTTTGAAGCACCTTATACATTCTTAAGGTACCTTGTGAATTTGATTTTAACATATATTTTAGACAAACTGATTAATTTCCTACAGAAGTATAATATTTTTATAATAAATAATATTTTTTTGTTTTTTACATTCACGAAACAAAACATGTTGGGTTTAATGTATTCTGCATGACCGAAATAAAAATATATGTATATAGGTACTTCATTAAAGTAAGTAATTATCTTGTAGGTTCTGAAGGAACGCTTGGAGTTATCACGGAGGTCATTTTGAAAATACGCCCCCTTCCCAAATTTAAGAAGTACGGTTCTGTTGTATTCCCAAATTTTGAAGCAGGAGTAAAATGTATGCGAGAAGTGGCTCGGGAGAGATGTCAGCCTGCCTCCATTCGTCTTATGGATAATAATCAATTTAAATTTGGTCAAACTCTCCGACCCGAACCGGGCTACTTCGGGCTTCTCCTAGATAGCATAAAAAGGATTTACCTTACGAAAATAAAGGGGTTTGATGTGGATTCTATGTGTGTTGCGACTCTTCTTTTCGAAGGTGACAAAGAAGATATCGAAGGAAACGAAAAGAAAATTAATAGAATAGCTGCAAAGTATGGAGGAATTCCAGCAGGAGAAAGAAACGGCGAACGTGGTTATCTCCTCACTTTTGTTATCGCTTACATTAGAGTAAGAATGTTTTAATACTTTTTATTGAATTTTCTATTACACAGAATACATAGAAAATTCATTTTTAGATGTTAAAACTTTTTTGTGCGTATTCAAACAAAAAAAAATTATTTACGTTTTTGTACATTTAAAAAAGAAAAATTGAAAATGTTGGAATTTAATAATACATTTTTAATTTATGTTGATGTAACATATAAAGCGGAAAGTACACTAGAGTGGGTTGAAAACTGCATTTTGAACAATGGAATTTTTGACCCACATTGATTGTTTATAATGTATATGTAATTATTCATTTATAAGGGCATTCATATTTAATTTAAAATTATACAGTCATAATCAGATTACACCACTATTACTTGATGCATATAAAATGCAAGAAAATCATTTCTACCGAAGTGTAGGCATTACTACAAAATTTAACATGAAAAATACCAAATGTGATTCATTTCCAATTCAATTAGGGGAAATGCCATAAAAAAATCGATTTTAGAAGTACTTTTATATAACTCTTATTACATACGCAAACCAGTATCTCCTTTTATATCGAATACTGCTTAAAGTATATTTCCCTATCATTTAGTAATTATAAAAAGATACATTTTACATACCTAATGCACATTATTATTATAGGACCTTGGCTTGGAATATTACGTGATGGCTGAATCGTTTGAAACATCCGTTCCGTGGGNACAAAACGCTAACTCATATTTTCATTAAATTTATCCATATATACAACCAATTAAACATCCGAATATAGACATTTATACTCGTTCATTCTTTGCAATTGTTTACTATCACTTCCAATACATTATAATTGGCGTATTTAAATTAAAAATCGTGATTAAATGATAAACGTTTTAATAGTTTGCTATAACTGTATCACAGTCCTTATTAGTTAATCTGAACATGGTTGATGAAATTTTATCACTCAATGTATCTAATCAGTCATTTCTTTATTTGTTGACTTAGCCTACGAAGCCCTTCCTATTTCTTTAACTACATTATTTATATACTTTAAACACATACCGATGTGAATATTTGTATTCTTTAGTGTGGACCTAACGTTAAAAAACTGAAAATAAAGTTCAAACAAAACTTGTTCCCAGGAGAACCTAATCCTAATACTTTATGCATAGGTGGTTGTGATATACATGTGCTAGACACTTTAGAAATAATACCCGGTTCAGTAAGGCAAGGTAAGTCAATGCAAGAGGAAAAATATACATAAAACAATTAATTATATTAATTTTTTAGTTACTCTAAATCCAGTTCTTCGAAACCCCAATGCAAGGGGACCACACAACAATCAAAGAAACAATAATACTTCATCAACAAGAACAGAAAGCATATTAAACAATACCATTGCTAACAATAGAGACAGCGGTTTCAGTTCTTTAGGAAATGTAACCGTAAACAATTGTACTAACAGACCATCTCAAATACAAAGTCTCAATAATATTCCGAGGCAGACTACAGAAAGAATTACCAATGTTTTACCTCAACCGAGAGGAAGTGGAGCAGGTAATTCTAATGTAAGTTCATTAAACTCGTCATTTGTTGGAAACGAAGAACCTCATATAGTATGTTTATGTGGCGAGCAAGCTTCATTATTAACAGTTCGGAAAGAAGGACCTAATACAGGTGAGAATATTGTTGATATTATTGATACAGTACTAATGTTAGATAAAGTAGTATGGAGAATTTGGTCTGTTTATTTATTCGTCAGAGCTTCCTTTAAAGAGTACCGAACACACACAAATAGAATTTTGAGAATGTTTCAGATCTTTACACGTCTCTTCCCATTCTCCCAATAACAATCCCACTTTTCGTTTTGCGGCACCCAGTCTATATTGATATACCAATACAAACGCCATTTTGGCGTTGCTTTCTCAAACGTTGTTTTCTAATTGTAAGTTACCCGTTGTAAGAAAAAGTGCCATTTCATTGAAAGCCTGCTGTTATTTTAATCGTTTACGCACGCTTGGTGGATTTATACTGTTATTTAGGTAAATTTCGTCTAAATTCGAATGTTTTCGCAAGCGCGACGGAGTAGTTCTCAGTGATGTAAACATACAAGAGGTGTGGCTGCCACAATTTTTAACAAATTGCATTGACTGAGAGGTATCAATAGTTGGTTGCCATGCAGGTGAGCTCAATCTCGTCAGATGCTGTAGTGTTTTTTTTTTTATTTATGTTCATTAACCATTTTTGTTTCTTATTTATTTACCAAAGTTTACTGGCCAAAGTTACCTTTTTGTATTATATGAAAGAACACAAAAACAGTATGCGTCTGCACTGGCTTCCTAATCTGACGAAAGATAAAAAAGAGATATTAGTGCTCGTTAAACAATACAAATAAGGAAAATGAGTTGAAGTATAAATAATAAACGAAATGAAATTTGAGTCATAATAAACAAAAATAGGAATTTGAGTTATACCACTACGCTAACAGTATGTTAATAGAAGTTCTTTAGACTTCTTCTTGAAAAAAGAGATAGATTTATTACTATCAATATCAGGTAATTCAATATCAAATTGCAAATATTCAACAGCAACAGCAGACTCAATATTGGAGTAAATAGTTATTAACAGTATGACTTATATCATTTATAAAAATAATGAAATATAGTGGAACAGAGTGAGTGTCCTGTCCGACTCCTGAATTAAGTACAAATTTAGAAGATACATACATAATTCATTACTTAACGGTACAACGTCTATTTTTAATTGATGAAACTATCAATATTAACAAAGGTCCTTGTAGACCATAATAAGATAGCTTTTCAATCAATAAATCATGATTTATGGAGTCAAAGACAAAAGTAAAATCTGTATAAATAGAATCAATTTGATAACCTTTTAATAGAGATTCAGCACAGTATTCGTTATACTATATGGAGATAGGGGAGTCCGCTAGAGTCCCGGCGGCGTGTGCTGTGCTCAGCTGTTGTTTTTTATCTCTGCTCTCCACGTAGCTGGGCATCATTGCCTCTATTTGCGGTTTGTGTAAAAACCAAATCATAATTTGCAATAAACCTGTGATAACGAAATGTGTGCTGGGACACATAGTGGAAGTGAAACTTCAACGGACAAGTGGAAAAACGAATCGCAATAAAATTTTTACTTCAAGTTTTACGGGCAGATTGTTAATGAACTTATCCAATTTGAAAACCTGCCCGGAAAACTTCAAGTAAAAATATTGTTGCGATTCGTTTTTCCACTTGTCAGTTGAAGTTTCACTTCTACTATGTGTACCAGCACACATTTCGTTTTTTAATATTTTGTACCCGTTTTGCTATTTCGCCGCGCTTGCGTAAATGAGGAAAATATCCGTGGGCTTTCAATGTAGTGGCATTAAGTCTGCCGTATGTTCATTCTTGTTTCCATAAGAAAAACAAAACGCTAACTCATATTTTCATTAAATTTATTTATTATTTTTCTCTAATTTCATACAAAAAACAATATAGGAAGACAATTCTATAAATGCAGACGTGGTAAAGAAGGAGGTGGTTGCGACTTCTTTTTGTGGGCTGATGAAGACCGTAATTTAACTTTAAACAATACACGGGTACTTCCGGGAGCAAGTACTACACCAGTATGTATGTGTAATACACCAGCTACATTAAGAACAGTTTCAAAAGCAGGTCCTAACAAAGGTCGACAATTTTATTGTTGCCCTAAACCGATGGGACAGGGATGTAACTTTTTCAAGTGGGCAGACGAGGTTTGTAAACTTCTTATTACTTAAATTTTTATCCAATTTTTTAAAGAAAACGTAATACTTTGGTATTTATTTAAAGAAGAATCTCAAAAATAATAATTGTTTATTCCTCAGTTTGGTATAGTTCAAGTTGTTTCTCGTTATTGCTGATATTGATTGTTAGTGTAATGATATTTTTGTTTAGACGGACAATAGGAGTACAAACAATGGTAACGATGGTGATGATGATGACGATGACCCCGCAGACGATGATGGTTGGGGAGGTAGAGGTGGTGGTCGAAGTATTTTAAATACGTCTGCTACATTCAAGGGAGCAAGCAATTGGAAAAAAAATTCAGGAGGAAAGGCTAAGGGTAGAACGAAAAGTACAACTCGTCAAGTTCCCTACCAAAAGCCGAGGGGCAAAAGAAAATGCGGAATTTGTGGACAAGAAGGTAATACGTTTATTTCGTCACTTTCTATTGAAAGCTACCTTATTTCACATGGAATATAATCAGGTTAATCAAGTATTAATACAATTTATTTTTTCTAGGCCACACAAGGAAAAACTGCCCAAATAGTTGAAGAAGTAAGAAACTTAAGTCACTTTTTTGTACAGTGTATATAATATTTTGTTAATATTGACAAGTATTAGTAGATAAATAAATCTTTTGTACGTTGTCATGGTGTATCCTGTGAACTTGATTAATTGTTAAAAACTTCTGTTTTTAATTTCTCAATTTCCCTTTGCTGTATATGACTATCTATAGTAGTTTCTGTTAACTGTAATGCATAGTAATAATGATTAGAGTATTAAATTTCCAACAAATCAATAGATGCAAGACATTACCATATTCATAAAACATTCAAGTTTGAGTTTAAGCAGGTTATTTTCCTCTTCTAAAGTTTGTATCCTTAAATTTTGTTTTTTTAGAGCTTTATGCATGGCTCCTTGAACTCCATTTTCTGTTAATAAATTACAATGTGATATAATATTAGCACAAGCATAGCTCGTTATAAACGAACACTGCTTCTTTAAAAATGCTGAATAATAGTTATATGACGGTATATATTAAAAAATTAGACATAATTATGTAATCAAATTTTGAAAGCCAAAATTATAATCTCTTTTTACATTACCTAAACAAGAATTTTCTCCTAACTCATACTACAAATTATTTTTCTCAATCATATAAGAAAATATTATATACAGGAGGAGCTAGCATT